TACATTCTCTATCAACAGTGGAATCTACAAACAAAATGAACAGGTAGAACAGAAACATTCTCATAGATACAGAGAACATTTTGTTGGTTGCCAGTTGGGAGGGGGTTTGGGGGAATGGGTGAAAAAGGTGAAGGGATTAAGAAGCACAAATTCATTGCTAGACTGACAAACCACAAAGGGAAAGGGGTTGGGGGGGTGGGAAGAAATAAACCAAAGAATTTATATGCATAACCAATGGACACAGACAATAGTGTGGGAAAAGGTGGGAGGGGGGCGGGAGTGGTGAGGAGGGGGTCAATGGGGGAAAAATGTGGAACATCTGTAATACATTTTACATCCAACAATAAAGATTTGAAAAAATGAAATACTAGATAAATTTTAACAATAAAAACATGTTTCATAGATGAACTCAAAAGAAAAAAGAATTTCCAGTTTCCAGAAACAGAGAAAGGAAGCAAAGCCACAATGAAAAAGAAAAGCAGGTGTCTGAGTTTCCATAGAGATTCTAACTTAATATAAGCAGTGAACACTGAGTTTCAAATACCTACCCTAAAGCCATATGAGGTAGACTTAAAGTTCTTATGTTTGTGGAAAGCAGTTCTCAAAGCTAGGTCTAGGGAACCCAAGACTATTTCATGGGCTCTGCAAAATCAAACTATTTTCATAATTCTAAGACGTTATTTGCCTTTTTCACTATCATTCTTGCGGGAATGCAGTGTGAATTTTCCAGAGGATATGTGATATAAGACATCACAATGACTGAACATAGAACAGATAACAGAATCCAACTACCTTCCATAGAAAGGTTGATAACTGTTGTAACCTAGATGTCAGGTACTAAGGGAGGAGGGGAAGTACATTATTATATTTAATTTTATACATCTGAGACTTTCTATAATACAGGGTTTAAAAATAAAATACTACTTGTCCGGTCAGTGTGGCTCAGTGGTTGAGTATCGGACCCATTCAGCAAGAGGTCGCTGGATCGATTTCCGGTCAGGACACAGGCCCAGGTTGTGGGCCTGATCCCCAGTGGGGGGGCATGCAGGAGGCAGCCAATCGATGATCTCTCTCATCGATGTTTCTATCTTTCTCTCCTGCTCACTTCCTCTCTTACTAAAATCAATAAAGGGAAAAAAAACTTTTCAAAAAAATGTTTCCAAGGTTTCAAGTTCTATGCTATCTTTATTCCCCAGAAGCCCTGTTTTACATTGTATTCATAAGACAAATCTATTAACTTCAAAAGTACTTTTCCACTAAGCCATGATACCAGAAGAAGCATACTATCAGATATCAAAAGGCTACCCCCATACAGAAGTTCAACAAAATGTACAATTACTGGTTAAAAACTAGTAGTTATCTATTATTCTAGTACAGTCATTTTCAGAGTAAAGTAATAAACTGCCTACCCTTTGCCAATAGAAGGGTATAAAGAAACTAAGATTGATGCAAGATAGTTATACAAACCAGTTTTAATTCAGTGATATTGAACACATACATTCCAACACTGAAAACTCTTTATATAAAAACAATCCAGCCCTGCCCAACCAGTGTGGCTCAGTGGTTGAGCATCGTCCCATGGACCAAAAGGTCAATGGTTCGATTCCCAGTCAAGGCACATGCCTGGGTTTCGGACTCGATCCCCAATGGGGGGCGTGCAGGAAGCGGCCGATTAATATTTCTCCCTCACATTGATGTTTCTATCGCTCTCTCCCTTACTCTCTCTCTAAAAATCAATAAAAGTATATTTTAAAAAATAAAAACAATCCAGCCCTGGCTGGTCTGGCTCAGCAGTTAGAGCATCAACCCACGGACTGGAGAATACTGGGCTCAGTTCCCGCTAAGGGCACATACCTCAGTTGTGGTTTGTCTTTGGCCCTGGTTGGGGTTGTGTGGGTGGCAACCACTTGACATGTCTCTCTCACATCAATGCTTCTCTCTCTCTCTCTTCTTCCTTTCTCCCTCCTGCTCTATCTGAAGATAAATGCAAAAATGTCCTCAGGTGAGGGAGGATAAAAACAAAAATCCATATATAATCTATGTTCTCCATCCACTATAAACATTCTTTCTCCCTTATTAAAACCCAGTGTTTGTTCTCAAATCAGTATTATACTAATCTGATTATGCTAACCTCTGTTCCACCATCACAGGAGGAAAAGAATCAATAATGAAAAACCCTAAAGATACAACTTTTGATCAAATAGCGAAAGATAAATTAAAACTTCATTCAGCACATATTAAGTGCTCACATATTTCTGAATGGCTAGCATAACAAAAAATGAGATGGTACCATGAATAAACTGGGTAGGTAATGAAGGGACTGAAAAAAAAAAGGTACCAGGTACAGAACCATGTAAGTAATATAATCCCAGTTCTGTTTTAAAGAAATATGTAATTCTGTATGCATCATATATAACTGCTTGTATAGATACACTGTATCTGGAAGGATACACTAGAACATAAAATAGAATCTTCCTCTGTCAGATTGTAAATTTGGGTAAGAGGGAAACTTTTTTTTTTTTAATCCTCACCCAAGAACATTTTTGCATTTATCTTCAGATAGAGCGGGAGGAAGAGAGGGAGAGGGAAGAATAGAGGGAGAGGAAAATCGACGTGATAGAGATACATCGAGTGGTTGCCACCCACAGGACCCCAACCGGGGCTGGGGACAAACTGCAACCAAGGTACGGTGCCCTTAGCAGGAACCAAACCCAGGACTCTCTGGTCCGCAGGCCGACGCTCTAACCGCTGAGCCAAACTGGCCAGTGTGGAAACTTTTAATTGCAAAAGACTTCCAACAATGGTAATGTGAAGAGGTTGGGCAATTTCTCTTCCCAGAAAACAAAGATAAATTTGAATAAAATTATCAAAATAACCATTTCAAGGCACTAAAAATCTACCAAAGGCAAAAACAAATTGAGAAGCATTTATTCTTGAAAAACTAAAAGAAGGCTAAATAAACACATACCCAGATAAACAAAGACTGAAAGAATTCACTGTCAGCAGACCTGTACTACAAATAAATGCAGTCCTTCAGGCCAAAAGAAAATGGTAACTTTGAGTCACAAGAATGAATGAAGAGCCATGGCCGGTATGGCTCAGTTAGTCAGAAGTTGTCCTATGCACAAGAAAGGTCTGCTGGTTCAATTCCCAATCAGGGCACATGCCTGGATTTCGGGATTGATCCCCAGCAGGGGGTGTACAAGAGGCAGCTGATTGATGTGTGTGTGTGTGTGTGTGTCTCTCTCTCTCTCTCTCTCTCTCTCTCTCTGTCCCCTTCTCCCTTTCTCTCACTCTAAAAAAAAAAAATCTTAAGCCCTGGCCGGTTTGGCTCAGTGGTTAAGAGCGTCAGCCTGCAGACCAGAGTGTCCCAAGTTCGGTTTCTGCTAAGGGCATGTACCTCAGTTGCAACTGGTCCCTGCCCCAGTTGGGGTCATGTGGGTGGCAACCAGTTGATGTGTCTCTCTCACATCAATGTTTCTCTCTCTCTTCTCCGCTCTCCCACTCCTGCTCTATCTGAGATAAATGCAAAAATGTCCTCGGATGAGGATAAAAAAAAAAAGAAGAGCACCAGAAATAGTAAACTTGAGTAAATATGTAAAAAAGTGTATTTTTTCCTTCTCTTACATTAAAAAAAAAGATGATTTGAAGTAATAATTATATTGCTGTGTTGTGTTTATACAATATGTACATACAATGTACAATACACAAAAGAGAGTAGAAAATGAAGGGACACTGTTTCAAAGTTGCTACATCTACCAGAATTAAGTCAGTATTAACGCAAAGTAGACTGTGATAAGTTAAAGATTCAGTGTCAAAAGCTTTCTTTTTTCTAAAAAAAAAAAGTGCATATTATAATTCTTAGAATCACGAATTAACTAAAAAATATATAGCTCAACAAGCCCCAAAGGAATTAAAATGGTATTATAAAAAATATCTGCTCGCCCTGGCCGGTTTGGCTCAGCGGTAAGAGCGTCGGCCTGCGGTCCTGAGAGACCCAGGTTCGGTTCCCGCTAAGGGCGCGTACCTCGGTTGCAGTTTGTCCCCGGCTCTGGTCAGTCGTGCGGGTGGCAGCCACTCGATGTGTTCCTTTCACGTAGATGTTTCTCTCTCTCTCTCTCTGTTCTCTCTCCCTCCCACTCTACCTGAACAAAAAATGGAAAAATGTCCTTGGTTGAGGATAAAAAAAAAGCAAGATCCTGTCACACACTGTCTACAAGACAGACACTTCAGATTCCAAGGTACAGCTTCAAAGTAAAAAAGATATGCAAATAGTAATCCTAAGAGCTGAAGTGGCTATACTTTCCATTGTAAATCCTTCTGCAATATGTAACTTTTTAAAAAACTCTGTGTAACTCTTTTAATAGGAGATAAAAAAAAAAAAAACTTTTAACCAGTGCCAATAATAGAGGGGGAAAAAAATGAAAAGGACCAAAGTAAAGAGAAAAAAATAAATGATCACCTTAATTCAGCTTTATACATAGAGATCATCTCCTATTACATGTTATTATTTAAATGCATATTTGAAAACATATCTGGCTCAAGTACTGAAGGAAACTAAATTGCAGACCTATCAATGAAATATGATTTTTTTAAAAATCTTAATTCACCTTCTAGATTTTCAAACAGAAAGAGTAAAATTATTTAAATGGGCCATGGCCAGTTTGGTTCAGTGGTTAGAACGTAGGCCCACAAACTGAAGTGTCGCAGATTCGTATTCCCAGTCAAAGGCACATACCCGGGTTTTGAGTTTGATTCCCAGCCATGGTTGGGGTAGTGTAGGAGGCAACCAATCAATGTGTCTCTCTCATGTCGATGTTTCTCTTTCTCTCTCTCTCCGACTCTCTCTCTCCCTACCTGTTCACTCCCTCCCTCCCTTCCACTCTTATCTAAAATGAATGGAAAAGTATCCTCAGGTGAGGATTTTTAAAAAAGAAGAATTATTTAAATAAGGTTGAAGTTTTAAACTAGTTAAATTGGGTTTATTTATTTTTTTCTTCCACTTCGTAACCTGCTTAAGTGCCTGCAGCCTACGAGCAGAGACCAGGTAATGGTTGAAGGCCAGTTTGCTGTGGCATGAGCACTGTGAGAGACCCAGGGGGATGGGCTTGCCATAAATCCAAACCCATGCATTTAAATTGCTTTTGAATTACAAAGTTAAATAATTTTTAAAGGTACTCTGAATTTGTTTTTAAAACCGAAGATATGGCCCTGGCCAGTTTGGCTCAGTGGTTGGAGCAATGGCCTACAGTCCAGAGAGACCCAGGTTCGGTTCCCGCTAAGGGCACATAACTCGATTGCAGTTTGTCCCCAGCCCTGGTTGGGTCACGTGGGTGGCAACCACTCGACGTGTCCCTTTCACATCGATGTTTCTCTCTCTCTCCCTCCCTCCCACTTTATCTGAACAAAATATCAAAAAATGTCCTAGAGTGAGGATAAAAAAAAACAAAACAACTGAAGATATATTGCCCTGGCCAGTTTGGCTCAGCGATTAGAGCATCGGCCCATAGACCAGAGACACCTGGGTTCGGTTCCTGCTAGGGGCACACACCTCAGTTACAGTTTGTCCCCAGCCCTGACTGGGGTCGTGTGGGTGGCAACCAGTCAATGTGTCTCTCTCAAGTCAATGTTTCTCTCTTTCTCTTCCTCCCTCTCTCCCTCTCGCTCTATCTGAACATAAATGCAAAAATGTCCTCGGGTGAGGATAAAAAAAAATAACTGAAGATATTGTCCAATTCTTACATATTTAATATTTTAAACACACATGGTCCCTTATGATTAATGAGAAAAATAGTTTTCTACTATGCAAAGACTAAATCAGCTAGGAGTGAGAAGAAGTTTGAATACTACTATCTGCTATGCACCTCTTCTTCTGGCAGCATCTTTCTACGACCATCCTTTACAGGAAATCCACTTCCAAAGTCTTTTGAGGAAATATCAGCTCCATACTCTACAATAACATCTTCTTCAATGCTGCTAACCAGACGCCAGAATTCCTTTTCTACTAGTTCTGTGGGAACCATCTACACAAGGAAAACAAAGATTATATATTAGTAACTCACTACAACCAGAATCCACTATACATTAATACACAGGTCAAGTGAACACAAACCCACTATAAAATAGAAAACCTGCCCAGCCGGTGTGGCTCAGTGGTTGAGCATCAACCCATGCACCAGGAGGTCGTAGCATCAACTTCTGGTCAGGGCACATGCCCAGGTTGTGGGCAAAATCCCCCCGGGGGGAGGGGGGTGATGCAGGAGGTGGCTGATCAATGTTCTCTCTCATGGATGTTTCTCTCTCTCTCTCCCTCTCCCTTCTTCTCTCTCTCAAATCAATAAAGAATAGAAATTTAAAATAGAAAACCTTATCCTGTCCCAGAGCTGAAAAGACAAGGTCCTAGCTTTTTCCACTGAGATTAGGGAGAAACTAAAGATAACTTAGATGTCCAGAAAAACATAATGAACTTAAACTGCCTTTTTTTGCAAACTGCTTCCTTACTAACAAGGATAAAGATGAACCTGGCCAGTGTGGTTCAGTGGTTGAGCGTCAACCCATGAACCAAAAGATTGCCGGTTCGATTACCAGTCAGTGCACATGCCCAGGTTGTGGGCCCAATCCCCAGTGGGGGGCATGCAGAAAGCAACCAATCGACGTTCTGTTTTCTGCAATAGATGTTTTAATCACCTTCTCCTTCTCCCTTCCTCTCTCTCTAAAATCAATAAAGGAAAAAAAAATTTTTTTTAAAGGATAAAGATGGCCTAGGACATCAAAGAGGAAAAAGGAAACACAAAAATCAAGGTTTAATTTTAATAGCTTTGGCAAAATTTTTATAGGGATTTTAAAAAGCCCAAGATCCCCTAGGAAACAAAGCAAACCTCACATTACAAATAACTAAACAAAAGCAGCAACTACCACATAATCCATGCTTTCCGTAAAGGACTACTCACAGAAGGCTAATAAACAATTCAAAGATCAAAGAATATTTCTCAACAAGAAAGTGCACACTACCACATTAGAGTGGAAGAAACAGAAACAGATGCCAGGCCACTAGTCTTTAAATGTGGTGGTCTATCATCTTTTACATGCTTCCCTGTTTTCTACAAAATAATGTAAGTAGAAAGCAAACCAAAAGCTATGGACTTCATACCTTCTCAAACTGACCTAAAGACAGATACTCACATGGACTGGCATATTGAAATAGTCAGACTTAAAATTATCTGCCATCTCTCCAAAGCTCTGAAGTGTATACTCTCTTACAGCTTGTTCAAATCCAAAGGCTTCTCGAGGTTTATTACATTCCTGGGAAGAAAAAGTATCTAAGATTAACTCACTGAAACAGAACTGAACAAAGTATTATGACTCTCAGGTACTACCTTCTTTGATCATTTCCCTAAGTGAAGCTAATCCAATCAACAGACAGCAAAATGAGTATTAATTGCTTGCAATATGGAATTAGAAATTAATGTTCTAGACCTCAACTGCATTTTTCACAGTATTCCAGTAGAAAAGTGGTAATAAGACATATTTAAACTTTGGAGTTGGCATTAAGCTCTGGCACTATGACAAACACCTATAGGACTACTCACTTGTTATCAAGCCTAGGGATGCCTGTCATTCTCAGTATATCAGTGCACCTAGCTGTGGAGAATATAAATGTTCATGGAGAAAGGAGAGATAATGGATAAAGATGTATCCACCAGATTGCTAGAATATTTAGCTAGAAGAATGGTTTTTTCACACTATCAATCACCATGACAAATATCAACACAAATACTCAGCGTAAGAAATGCTTCTGAATCATCTAACTTTGAGAATAATAAGCAGTAATTTAAAGGCCATAAAAGATCTCTGAATACATCTAGATAAAACCAGTCAACTCCTTTCCTTCAACAGTCTATCACATTTTGTTAAAAAAGTAAAAAGATGTCTGGCCGGTGTGGCTCAGTGGCTGAGCGTCGACCCATGCACCAAGAGGTGTGCCAGTCAGGATACATGCCCAGGTTGTGGGCCCAGTCCCCAGTGAGGGAGCATGCAGGAGGCAACCAGTCAATGTTCTCTCTCATCGATGTTTCTATCTGTCTCTCCCTCTCCCTTCCTTTCTCTCTAAAATCAATAAAGAAAAAAAAATGTTTTTAAATAAAAAAGTGAATAGACTAGGCATTTCATGACAAGGACATCATTATAATCTTTCAATAAGAATAACACACAATCAGCCCTGGCCGGTTTGGCTCAGCGGTTGGAGCGTCGGCCTGTGGTACAGAGAGACCCGGGTTCGGTTCCCGCTAAGGGCATGTACCTCGGTTGCAGTTTGTCCCCGGCCCTGGTTGGTCGTGCGGGTGGCAGCCACTCGATGTGTCCCTTCACATCGATGTTTCTCTCTCTCTCTTCCTCTCTCTCCCTCCCACTCTACCTGAACAAAAAATGGAAAAATGTCCTCGGGTGAGGATAAAAAAAAAAAAAAGAATAACACACAATCAAATCAAAATTTAAACATGCTAAGAGATAACAGTTTATTTGGTAGCATGAAAACTGAATGCATAATTTTCTAAGTTTTAGAATTTCATGCCTGCTTTTCAATCTTTAATTGAAATAGAAAAATAAATAACATACAGCCTTTCTTCATTTTTACTGTTTTCCAAGAATATGAACATTCTGAGCAAAATTTTCAGTCATCTACAGCAATAAACAGAATTGTTGAACCATAGTCCAAAAAAAAAAAAAGGCTTTGAAAGGCAAGCTATCACAGTACAATTTTTACAGTTCCATTCAATATCTCTCTTTAAAAAATCCTGGAGATTTTAGTCCAGCCGGTGTGGGTCAGTGGTTGAGCATCGACCCATGCACCAAGAGGTCGCCAGTTCGATTCCCAGTCAGAATACATGCCCAGGTTGTGGGCCCGATCCCTGCTGGGGGCACACAGGAGGCAGCCAATCAATGTTCTCTCTCATCAATGTTTCTCTCTCTCTCTCTCCCTTCCTCGCTAACATCAATATAGAAAAAAAAATTTTTTTTTAATCCTTGCCCTGGCCGGTTTGGCTCAGCAAACCAGAGGATACCAGGTTCGGTTCCCGCTAGGGGCACATACCTCGGTTGCAATTTGTCCCCAGCCCCCGTTGGGGTTGTGTGGGTGGCAACCACTGGATGTGTCTCTCTCACATTGATTTTTTTTCTCTCTCTCTCTTCCTCCCTCTCTCCCTCTCGCTCTATCTGAAGATAAATGCAAAAATGTGCTCGGGTGAGGATTAAAAAAAAAAAAAATCCTGGAGATTTTAAACATTGAAGAACAAAAAAAGAGAAGAAGAAGCTTCTGGGAATGTATTTACTATGTGTATACATGTGTTATTGTTCTTAGTTTAAAAAGAAACTGTACATCGTACCTCAGCAACACATTTAGGACACCTCCAATCTCCTTTGGGCACATCAGGTAGTGGGGGAATTAAACAAAATGTATGATAGCTGTCATCACATCCATCACACAAAAGCAATTTATCTTCATTATTTCCCCGACCACAAAACATACAAACATAGAGATCAACCTGTTAAAAAACAAAGTAAAATAAAGTCTATTTTCTATAATAAGTAATATTAAGTTTTTACCAGGAACTCCTTAATTGAAACAAAATAATGTACACTAAAAAGTAAATATAACTTAAATCCTGAATATTTAAATAACTGTACTTAAATAGCTTTTCATAAAATTTCCTCAGAGCTTCTATCAGCAAGTTAATAAGAGCATATCAAGTTATCAGAATAAAGAGTAAAAATCCAGGGTACTTGAAAGTCAATTTATAGAGTTAAAATACACCATGTCACCCTTCTTATATACAAATATTATTAGAGAATGAATACTGAGCACTGCTCAAGGATTTAGATTTATATTCATTCTCTTAGTTACTCACAAGGACTACGACTTAGGGGAATAGCCCATGTATACTGGACAAAGCGAAGTTAACATTACATAACCAAAGCTGCAACTTCAGATTTACCATTAAGTCTTCTAACCAAATGAATTAACTGAATAGCATACCAAGATACTAGAGCAAGATAAAAGGTGCAAAACTAAATAAAAATAAATCCTTTCCCTCCTGACACATCTCAGAACACTTACAAAGTTAACAGAGAGAGTTC